ATTGAGCTTTTTAATATTTTTAATATCAAGGTATCTCCATTTTTATTTTTCTCTTTTCAATATAAGACTAGGAAGTAGGAATGTCGTTGGAGGTTGAGTTGTCTCCTCGTCTGACCCTAGTCCACGTGAGAACATTAGAGGTTGCATTGAAGTTAGGAGAATATATAGGAGATATATTCTCTGTTGCATAAGGTGATCACTTTTGATAAAAAGTCACAAAAGAAAAAGCAAAGCTAATGGGAGAAAAGCGGCCTTCAATCCAAGGCAATATTCGTCTATCACATGCTTCTTTTCTTTCCCATTTTTCGCCTAGGCATGAAGGAATATCCATAGTCCTGGATAAAACTTTCAAGCGGAGAGCATGAAAACTATCCTGGCATTAGTTAGTACTTACTTGCAAGAAAGAGAAACAGGATCAAAATTTGTTATTCGAACAAAATTGAGTAATCATACTAAACTGAATGGTTGTTCTGTTTGAAAAGAACATTAATTTGCACATCACCTTGTTGAACAAAGTTCAATTCTTACAAGAGGTTATCAGGTAATTCCTCACCAATACTCTATTTTTAGCATGGATAACCAACCTTCAACTAAAGTAGTGGGGCTCCACAGGAAAAAAAAATGGTGATTACTGAGCAAAGGTACCTTATTAGACCATAAACATGAGAAATAGAAGCATAAAATATACAGAGAAGACTGATTGACTTGCAAATAAATCAAAGGCATGTGACAGGATTGTAGGCCTAATCTAATTCAGAATTGTAACGTTGAAGAGATTAGCAATATAAATATTGTAAAGAGAGAACTTCTACTACCATTAAAGAACAAAGATTACCATTTTCCAATGCCACTGTCATAATAAGTAGGTCTAAAGTCTTCTGGTATGTTAATTAATATCATATCAGCTTCCCCGGTCAAAATTGGTCTGGGACTAGCAGACACACGATCTTCCAATATGCCAACTCAATTCTCAAGAGAATTTGATTAAGCAATAAACATTTTCCCTTGCACAGAATCCAATCCCAACAATGACTTTCTTTCGATAATATTAAATGATTCATCCTGCAAATAGTGAAACGATCAAATCTTCCAAAAGAGAAGCACAATCCCCATTTAGATTTAAAATGACCCATGAAAAGACAACAATTAAGCATCGTCAAACTCCAAAATGGAGTGCTACCCCACCATTCTTGCACAAAGATTTCATCATTTATATCTTCAAGCATACAACTTGCAGTGTATCACTAATTAATTTACTACCATGAAAAAAGAACCTTCCTAGCACCAAGAAAAAAAAGAGAAAAGCATGAATAGAATATTAAAACTTAACATAATTATCATTTGGACGTGTATTATGTGTGCCATTACATGGATGAGGATATGCTTGGAAAGGGTTTGGTAGAATAGCTTAGAAAATATTAAAAGGAGTGCATTCTGCTCCACTGAAGATGGTTGATCTTGGCGTTTTGTCACTGATGCAGTTTGCTTACATGTGAGATGCAATGGCAGTGATGAGGTTTGAAAGCGTGTTTTTAAATGTGCTTTTGGCTTTTGCTTTGCGGACCCAAAGAAAATGGATGCTGTGTATGTGTGTGTCTTTTCATAGTGCAAACTAGACAGTAAAGATCTTGACACTTGTAAACATGTACAGCCAAAGATAAAAACTGTGTGATGATGGGCAACAGCTGTCAGCATGTCCTCAAGGTTGACCTGTTGACACTGTCAACCACTTTTGCATTCATTTTTGGAGTCTTGGAATTTGGAAGGACCACTGCAGACAGTGACTAAAGCTCCCTCTTTCATCATACAGTTGTATGTCAGAGGCATAGAGTGCTGCAAATTGTAACCGCACCTTCGTTTGATGTAATTTACAGTAGATTGCTTGCTTTGCATGTATTTATATCAAAGCATCTCCACCCTCCCACTACCTCAACTCCCAACACTTTCTAAAACTTTCTCTCTTTTTCTCTCTGTCTCTCTATCTCTCTCTCCCCTCCCTCCCAGTTTGTGACTTAGGGTACTGAGTAAGTTTGTCTATGTCAAGCTGAAGCAATGAAGCAGAGAGTTTATCTTACTGCTCTTCTTCTCTTCCTTGTACTTCTTATTTCCTCCCCCCATTTAACTGCTCGCTTCATAGTAACTAAAATGGGTAAATGTCTTCTACTTCCTAGTCTTCCTTTTGGTTTTACCATTTCAGGAACTAAACCTGGAAAACTTTTGCAGAACAAGAGGAGGTAGAGCTGAATCAAATCACCATAACAGAGGATATTGAACCCATGACAGTATGCTTCCACTATCTTTCTTCATCTACTCTATATCTAACATGTTATTAATTTGGTAGCCATAAAGTATCTTATAGTTTATCTGGTTTTGGGATCTTTTTAGCAGCTAATGGACATGGAACCATGTGACACTGGGGATGAAGATTGCTTGAAGAGAAGAGCAATAGCAGAGGTTCACTTGGACTACGTTTACACTCAGCACCAAAAGCCTTGAGACTTCCACTAACATGGAATTAATTTTAAGTTCATGTAGCTTCTTAATTTCTATTTTCAGTTAGAATCCCATGTGAAGCCACTAGCTAGCTAGAATGATTTCTATATATATGAATCTTTTACCAATCTGCAAACTGTGATAATGACTCTATAAGGTACGTTTAGAGTATCATTTTGTTGGAAATTGTTGAAAGGACTCATCATCTACTCTGCATAAATGTATCTTGTATTTTACCAGAAAAAGAGGAATAAACATATGTGAGCTCACAACGGGATCCATCAAAGTTTGAAGTCATGCTAAAAGTAGTTCCAAGTTCAAATATGAAGAGGGCCCTGTAGAAAGCTCTTAAATCTGGGTAGGTGAGTATGGTGTTAAAGCAATTTATTAGACAGTTGGGAAACTATATTCAGAGAATTTAGTAAGAGAAGTTTCAACAGCATTCACTTCAGCAGTTACAAACTGCAAACTGCTAACTGCTCAGCTTAGGTATACTAAATTCTAAGTGCAATAAAGATAGGAACATTTTCACTTTTTTATTGAAGGAAAAGGAAGAGACACCTAGAACTAGGTCATGTCCAATGCAAGAGAAATTGGATCAAATCATATTATTTTCCTAAGCTACCTGAGGTTAGAAAAAAAATCAGAGATTGTTTCTCAAGACCAAGACCAACTAATTAATAATCAACATAAGATGTGCTGAATATATTTCCCCAACATTGTGAAGGACACAAGGAGTAAGGTAATCCAATAATGTGTCAAATAAGAGAAAAGAGGAGAGCAAATAAGTGAAACTTCTTCCTTAATGTTGTGCCATGATTCTTACATAAATAAGTTGTCAATTTTAGTGAAAATTATTGCAAGCAGCCAAAACCACTCTGATGATTTTCTTTTACTTTGAGCAAAAGTTGACAAATCAAGCTAGGATTAGATGAGGGTTCTGTTTCTTTTGTCTCCAACTATAGTTAGAGCCTTGGACTGGGTATTCCCATTTCCCTTGATTGATTGATTGATATTGAATTCTACAGGGGATAAGAAGTTAATTTTGTATATTTCAATGCTTATCCTCAACCAAAATTAACAAAAGAAGACATTAAAGCATGAGTTATATATATGGAACTTGCAATAGGAGCCACACCTGTCATCTTCTATCTTATTTCAGCAAAACACCAAACCCTGCAATAATGCAAGTTGTATGCTCCACAGATGACTGTTTGGACTCCCCTAAGATATATGCACAAATTAAGATACTCACATAACACATTCCTATGGCGCAAGAATGAAAGGGTACTCTTTGATTCTTCTGTCCTTAATTACCATGGGAAGCAGAAGATTTTTTTTTTTACAATATATAGTCTAGATAAGATGTATGTATGAAGGATAAGATCTTTTGACATATTCTAATCTTGCTTTTTCTTTCTCTTCTCCTAGAAGACCTGTAATGTATCTTGTTCTTTCATTAGGAAACTATTATCCCAGATATGAATGACTCAGTCCAGACGTCAGATCACACACAAAAAAATAAATAAATAAATAAAAAGGGGAAGAAAGATGTGGATGACTCAGACTCCACTTTTCCTTCAAAAAGACACACTGTCCCCTCTTTATACAATCATTCACGTTGAAGTAACACCTCTTGTGGTCACTGGTTCTCCAATTGTCAATATAGTCAGATATCAATCGAAACGAACAGGCAAGAAACCCAATGCAAGTCCTGTGTATATGTTTAATAACCATCTTATTTTTGTCTCTATAATGAATGGGGTCACTTCAAGAAAATTTCAAAATGAAAAAATTCCCTTTCACGTAGTATCTCCATCAATATAAATGAAAAAGGTCAACCAAATTCAATAATAGAGAGCTGAAGTAGTCACATGCATGTCCAAATCGTATTGCTAAAACACAAAATGAGATTCCTGCTTTGTAGTCCCCCATCTAACAATTTTAATTGTACAATTCTGTACCACTGGATTTTTTTTTTTTTTGTAATTTCTATCTAATAATTTTAATTGTATAATTCTATACAATTAAGAATCTTTTTTTGCAATTTCCATCTCATAATTTTAATGCTGCAATTCTGTATAATCTATACTACACAACAATTTTATGAATATATGTACATGAAAAAACATCAGTTTGAAATCACCTCAAAGTACAGTGTAACAAATAAAGACTACAAGCAGTCATTTATTTTGTGGCAGAAGTTAATTAAATGTCCGTTTAGTTTGGTATGGTTGAAACTTTTAATAAAAATTCTGTCAAAAAGGAATTATTGTAAAAGTATTATTTTTGTAAATAAAAAAAATAAGAATAAAATAAGAATAATATGTTAATTTTATTAAAATCCAAATGAGAAACTCTTGGAGAAGCATCAATTCGATATTTTTGAGATTTGTGATAAAATAGATAAAAGACTAACTTGTGAAAAATTATAACATTTTTTACAAATTATAGTGTTGGGTGTAGTTGAAGCTTTTGAAATCCAAAAACATTTCCCATAAGCTGTAACAAACATAACCTAAACATCAGCAGCACCCTAGAAGCTGAATCCCCAACCGACCACAACAGTTAGGATCTAGTAGTACTTCCTAAGAAAAGGGAAATAGGAGCTTTAGCAGGTTTCATTAGTTGACCTAAAAAAGGCTTGAGCACACAGCAGCTTCCAGAGGGTATTAATGAATTTTGAATCAGGCTTGAACCTTTGTGGCCCAGTCCATCTTTCTATGTGGTTCTTGGCCATGAAATTGAACAATGTATGTGGTTCTCAGCCCAATATGAGTTTCGTTTTGACCTTATTTTACCCAACCCAAAAAGGACATCTGTTATCCCAAAGTTGAAGAAGCCGATGCTAACTTTCCAAGTCAAAAGTGAAATCAAAGGCCTCATTGGGTATACCAAATATGGTCGAACAGAGAAAAATATGTTGAAGTATAGGCCTTTTGATTATCTATCTCCTGCTCTACTAAAAAAGCAGTTATAATTATGACCTCTTTTGACTTTCGTAATTTAATTTGTATAGATTCATATAATATGTGCATATCATACAGCAATAAGTCATTTATTTCGCAAGTTAAACCGTAAAATAAAAATTATTATACGAGAGAAAGGTTCTCAATATTAAGATATTCACTTTTTATTTAATAATTAATGTTTTATAATTTGATGGAATCGGAAACTGCGAAACACGTATTCTTATAGCAATTGAAAAATATTTGGTACATTACTAATTAATTTTCTTACTATGAAATCTTATTATTTTAACATATACTAATTATGATTAACTTTTTAACTCAATAACCTGTGAATTGATATGCAACTATTTTATAATAAACTCCAATAACAATTTCACATATTTTTATTTGTATATTTCCAAATTAACTCTCTTTTTTTTTTTGTAAGGAAAAAGTGTCCATCTATCATGCTTCTTATGAAGAAATTATAGTATTTCAATAAATTTTAATTAAAAAGTTAAATTACTTTATTTTTAAAGCGTGATTTTTTTTTTGGTATTTTTTCAATATATTTTATTAAAATAACATAATTTTAAAATAAATTTTAAAGTATTAAGTGAATAAGTATTAGTTCCTTTTTTTTGTAATATAAAGTGCATATAAGTATATACATTATATGTTATAATAATTAAAAGAGTTTTTTTATTTTATAATCTAAACTATCATACATAAATTATTAGATTGTGACAACTCTCAATATCAAGATTTTGGCCCCGTTCATCAATTTAAATTATACAATTTAGATTTCACAGCCCTCTTTTGTACTTGGTTAAAGACATATATATATCTAAATGTAAACTTGAAAAAACATGAAGAAATCTTGCATTCATTCACAAAGTCAAATCCACAACTTTAAAAGACTTAATCACATATTTTTAACCACATGATTTGAGTCTTAATGGACAACTCATTTCTTTATTTAAACTTCCACGATAATCCAGTACGATATGCATTTCCTAGTAAAAACGTATGGACCTACCAATTAAAAGAAAGATTAATTATGGATTATCTTCTTGGAAAAAAAAAAAGATAGTACCTTTCTCTTTTGAGAAATTAATATATACAAAGTATACAGGTAAAAGCCTGCTTTTACCTGTATATTTTATATTATAATATTTTAATTATTTACTTTATTAGATTTATAAGTTTTAGTCCATTATATTATATTATGATACTTTTAGCCTCTCACATATTAAAATTGAAAAAAAATAGTTTTCACTTTATAACATTTTATTAATTATATTAACTGACTGTTAACTTTATTAGTTAACAAAATTTTTTTTTTCAATTAATAGAATTAACATAACTAATTTTATAATATTTTATTAATTATGTTAATTGGTTATTAGTTGACTATTAGATGACAAAAATATATTTTCAGCTAACAAAGTTAACGATCTGTATAAAGTGAGGGCTATTTTCTTCGACTTTCATAAGTAATGAGCTAAAACCTATGAATCTAATAAGGTGTTAAGTTAAAAATATCATAATATAAAGTAAATGATTAAACACTTCAAATTTAATAAGGTGAAAAGTTAAAATTAAGTTTTTACCCGAATATACGCTACGTTTTAAAAAATAAAAGTAACACAGAAACAGAAAAGGACACCCGAATCTGTTCGCACAAGAAAAAAACACCCATGGGCTGTCTATTGCTCTATCAGGTTCCTAATGCACCATCTTCCACTAGTGCTTCGCCACGTATATGGTGACCTGGCACCCCAACTTCCACATCACCCATTATAAAATATAAAAAAATAATATAATTATAACATTACCTAATAATATAAAATTTTAATATAATGTGTATTTATATAATAAATTTATCTAATTTATATA